TCCTCTCCCTTCGGAGACTGGGCCACAGGGCAGTATTCCAACATGATAAACACACCTCCAAGACGACCACTGCCTCGCTAAAGAAGATGAGGGTAAAGGTGATGGACTGGCCAAGCATGTCTCCAGACCTGAACCCTACTGAGCATCTGTGGGGCATCCTCAAATGGAATGTGGAGGAGTGCAAGGTCCAGCAAGGACCAGCTCCGTGATGTCGCAATGGAGGAGTGGAAGAGGACTCCAGTGGTAACCTGTGAAGCTCTGGTGAACTCCATGCCCAAGAGGGTTGAGGCAGTGTTGCCAGCGGTTTAGACATTAATAGCTGTGTGAAGTGTTACACAAGCTGTCCACTCACTACTTTACATTGTAGCAAAGTTCTTCTCATTTCTTCAGTGTTGTCACATGAAAAGATCAATCAAATAATCGATTGAAATAAAAATTTGATCGAATCAAATATTTACAAACATGTGAGGGGTGTACTCACTTTTGTGAGTTACTGTACCTGTATATGAATAGGTAGTGGAATGTCAAGTGTTGATACATTCTAAGCTTACGAATGTCACAAAAGTTAATATATCTGTATTTGGCACTACTATAATTCTTTTTCTTACTTCAGTTTTGGATATATTAATGCAATAATAATAATCAGACAATCATTTGGAACTACAGTAAACAGGTAGGATAATGTTGCCATGGAGACAGTTAGTTAGCTGTGGGCTACAACTTTAGACCTGTTTTTTAGCCTATATTTGTTTACAGAATGTTGAATCAGCTGTTAGCAGTGTACCAATAAATGTACAGATGTCTGTCATTTGATTATACTGAACAAAAACATGATGATCCTCAGGCAAGTTTTTAGGATTTCTAAGAGAATTTATGGACATTCATACCCACAATGGACAGTGCAGATAAGTGCTGTACCGAACTGTATGAAGCTCCCTTTCAGACACAGTCAGTCTGAATTGGTTGTGAGTGCCTATTATTTAATTTTGAACAAGCCAAAAACTATGTTCAGTGTGAGATCTGTTACCACACTACATTCTGCACTATGCCAGCCTGCCAAGTAGACAGATCTGTCCCAGCCCACTGTCACACTGAGACAGCAGGGAGAGAAACAAAAACAATCTGTATTGTATGAATTAGGGTTGATCCGACTGGCGATTGGATCCCCAACGACGATTGAAGAGATGATCAGCGATTGGTTTTTCATGCACCGATATTAAGGCAATTTTAACTAACTCACTAACGGAACTAAGATGACATAAAAACAGTCTCTACAACCTGCACCACACTGCAGTGTTTCCTGTTCATTGATTTATTTGTGGCAACACCACAATATAATGCTGAAACGCCACATACTATTTAATATGAGGAAAATCATCATTCATCGCGGAGCTGCGCACAGCACATAGATTCACTCAGCCCCTCTGCTTGGTCGTTCGTTCCCCCCCCCCCTCACAAACACATTGAAACAGAGCCGTGTGTTTATAGAAAAACGAATGCATTGAAGTTAACGCTGAGAAGTTAGTGTATCTATTTTCTTAACACAACGCTGTCAATTTTGGAGACTGATATGTTAACTTTATAATACAGACGGGTTGTCAAGGTTGACACGCTGTACATAGCCGCTATTGATTGCACCCTCCTTCTCCCTGCTGCGCCAGTTACATGGTAATTATGTGGGAAACACCGTACTGTGCATTTCCAGATGTTTCTGGTGGTTTCTCTCTTAAAGCTAATAAGCCTGTTTCTTCCATGCTAGCATTTCACTGAGAAGCTACAACGTAACACTGCCCACTGGCAATCAGATCGCCAATAGGTGATCTCAAGTAGCCATGATCAGACGATATGAAAATAGAGAGGATCAACCGTAGTACAAATTTAAGTTAAACTAATCTTTTCCAGGGCCTAAACTCATTTCATTAACAAAACATGTAATAATTCAGTGAATTTCATACTTGTTTTTCAGATCTACCCACCCATCAATGTGTTGCCCTCACTGTCCCGTCTGATGAAGTCAGCCATCGGTGAGGGGATGACCAGGAAGGACCATGCTGATGTTTCTAACCAGCTGGTAACAAATCTTACCTCTTGTACCCAAACATGTGTCCTGTATGCTGGCCATAATGTTTCTGATGAACAGTGTGTCTCCTTATCTAGTATGCCTGTTATGCCATTGGTAAAGACGTCCAGGCTATGAAGGCTGTGGTTGGAGAAGAAGCCCTCACCTCTGATGATCTGCTCTACCTTGAGTTCCTACAGAAGTTTGAGAAGAATTTCATTGCTCAGGGTAAGAAGATTCCATGTGTTAGTTTCAGAGCTAATCCTGTCCACATCATTTATAACCGTGAGGGTGCAGGCAGGAGCTGGCAACCACAGCTAATATGGGCAGTTCATTGTTCCATGAATGAACTGAATAAGCTCCTCAAATGCTCCTCAAATGTCAATTTGGTGCTTTTCTCTTTACACTCGTGTAAACTGAATATCTTAGGGTTTTGGGCTGTCAGACAAAGCATGCAATTTGAAGACATCACCTTGGGCTCCAGGAAGTTATGATGGACATATTTCGCTATTTTTCGAACATTTTATAGTCTAAGTAGTTCATTGTAAAAATAGCAACAGATTGATTGAGAATGAAAATATTGTTAGTTGCAGCTCTAAGGGATTGTAATTGGATACCTATATACAATACCTAAAGTGTTTGCACACTGCCAGCTCTCCTGTGAGTTCACCACAGAGAACCTTGTGCCAGAGTTCACCTGTTTTATTTAGGAAGTGTTCAAGCAGGAGAAATTTAATTTAGGGTTAGTCACATATATATACATATACTGTATTCAGTTCAGTGTGGTGGAAATGAATAAATGACACCACATACAAAATCTTTATTCTAAGGTGATTATAAAGGAAATTCAGAAGTGGGAATGGGGAAAGGTGTGTGGCAGTAGCTGTCTCCTGTCTATCTGGTCTCTGACTGTGACTTCAGGACTGTGAAATCCTGTGTCACTCAGTTTTCCTGCTAGTCTAGATGACCTTGAGTTTAAGTTTGTCCCTGAACAATATCGATCTGTGTAGCGTCCTTCTTAGTTACTGAACCATACCTGACCATTTGTTTCTCGCTCTAGTTTCTTGAAAGTGACGGAACAAATGGTTTAATCTTCTTGGTAAATGCTGTGCATACAGAGCTGTATTTCCTCTTGAGCACTGATGGATTCCACAGGAGAATAGTAAGCACCCTTAACAGCGATCCAGGATGGGAACTGGGAAAGAAGTATTTTATCCCTTTCCATACGGCCCATTTTCAGGAACATCTTTGCTTGATTTGATGTACAGTAAAGAATGTGTGACAGCCACAGTCGATAATATGTGTGGATGCTAACCAGCATTGTGGCCCCACTGTCTCCATCAGGCCCGTACGACAACAGGACAGTGTATGAAACCCTGGACATCGGCTGGCAGCTGCTGCGAATCTTCCCCAAGGAGATGCTCAAGAGGATTCCTCAGAGCACCCTGGCTGAGTTTTACCCCAGGGAGTCTGCCGCCCGTCACTGAGGCACGCTGAGGGATGCTCTGGTTCTAGCCCAACTCACCTTTCTACCCACCATCCTTCTTTCTCTTTTATTCCTTTCTTTCATCTCATCCTCCAGCCCTGCACTTGAAGGGGCCTGGAGACCCATCCCAAACCTCACCTCTTCTTTCTCTACTCTTCTTACTACCTCCAGTTCATCTTCTTCTCCAACACCACCCCCACTTCCCTACCCTGAATGACCACAGGGCAATAATCTCCCCTTCTGTAGATGTACTGTAGCGTAGATGTGTCCAGACGGTGTATATGGAAAGTGTCGGCGGTTGTAATGTCTACCCTTGATTGCAAAAATGTGAACATATCCTTGAAATGATAGAGTCCTTATTTATTGGGGTGTGTTACTGCTGGATCTTCCTTTTCATTTAAAAAAAAAATGCTATGTAATATCAATCTTCCCACTAAAGAGTGGGAGATATAGGGTGGTTGTCAAAATACCAAATACCCTGAAATACAGCCCCCCTGCAGCCAGGTTTTTATTAAGACAGTCAGTAATGTTAATTCAACTTGATTGTCATTTTCTAAACTAAAAGGCAGGCTTACAGTGAATATTTGCTGAACACAAACTCAGAGCTTGAACATCATAAATGTCACCTGAGGGTCGAGTGTTTATCTTATTTTGTCCACTCCCTCTGTATTTGTTAATAATACGCAACTGCTATATTTTTTCATGTCAGTGGTTTATTTGGCTATTGGTCAGATTTCCATGCTGAAGAAGCAGTAGTAAACAGGCAAACTTGGGCCAGATGTTTACTGTATGTTACACCAGACTCTTTCCTCCCTCTTTTGGGCCCTCTTGCTTCCTCCACTGATTCTGAAAAGTATACAGTGGATGTTATCGTTATTTGTGTTTTGCTGTTTGATTTGTGTTGCGAAAGATGAGTATGTAAGAGTATATTAAACATTCCCATGTGTCTGCAAAAATGAATTCTTTGTTGTGCAACAATAATGGTTTTGTGAGTTTGTGTCCATGAATAAATTAAATTATGATTATGCTGTTGAGTCATCTCTGCACTTCATTCATCACATACATCAGCAACACAGATATTCTTCATGAGGTCGATTTGGTCAACTCAAATATTCAATCAAGCTTTCTATTGACAGATTCAGAGAGTGTTTAGTTGTCATTTCATATCAAAATTTCAGAAAAGGTGCTGTCAGTTGTTACAGCGCAACTTTTACATTTTGTTAAATACATTTCATCTCATGTCATTGGTGCCTTCAAGAGCTGCCATCTCTAAAGAACTAACAGCTTTAGCTTAGGTTTTTACACCCTGACAAGATTACAGTTTTGTGAGGTAGCAATGAATGCATGTCCAGTTTTTTAAGAAACAGAATCCACCTTAATATAAATAGGACCGAGTACAGCTCTGCAGACAAACAATGTTCAATGAACAAAAACGTTCAAATCCCCACTTAACTAGCTTTTCAGAACTTTCAGTCACATCTCAGGGTCTTCATTAAGCTCCTTTGTTTAGCCTGGTACAAACATGACCACCTGAGTCATTCTGACAACTAAAGATAGTTCTCAAAACAGGTCACCCAAAGCTTAGTCACAACATACAGTCTGCTGGATGTGTCCAATGGAATTGGCTGTTTTATATTATTTTATAGAATTGATTATCCACAAGACATATTTACCTCATTCCACAGATTCTATCCTTTGCTTTGTGAACTTATAGAAACATTAGAAGCATGTGGCAGGTCAGTGGGAACAAAACAAAGTTACAGTGTAAGCTTTACAAAGCATGTGCACAAATACAGTTTTAATGGCCGATTATTACTGTCCCATGTACTACCATACATTACCATTTAACTACTGTGGTATGATCATATTTTTCTTTTAAAAATAGAATTTTCAAATGTCAGCTCGGGTCTCTGGACGTCCTCAGTGAGACTGTACTGCAGCCTGTGTGCGTGCACGCGAGAGAATCCACCTTCCAGGTGTGTCGCATTGAAGCACTTCCTGGTGGACTTTGGTTCAGGATTTTGTCGGTATGGCTGCACAAGAGCTGGATAAAATGAGCGTCGTTACAGATCTGTCTAACCAAGGTGAGTTTGTTGTGAGCCGTCAGATGGTGAGGACAGTGCTGCTGGCAGTTCCAGGGTCTCTCGGTGTCTGGCGCGTGTCTTGCTTTTGCATTGGAATTAATTCGCGCTAAAAATATACAAATGAAAAACAGAGCTGTTTGGTAAAACGACACAGGGAGCACCTGCTTTGAGCGAAAGTTTGAAGGTTTTTGGTGAACAGGCAGAGCAGTTTTTATGTCGGTATAAGATCATATGGGGTCAGGTGGGAGTGGGATTGACACGCAGCTGGAGGAGAGTGGGTGGCTGGGAAGAACTTTCACTCCACTGTGAGTTGATGTCTACTAACGTCTGCTGAATTTATTCTTTCACCATTCTTTTCCAGCTCTAGTGGTTTCTGTTTTCATGGCCAAGGTCCATGTCCAGTAGGAGGACTGGCTTTTTACGCCTTACAACCAGGGCAGTTTAAACTGCTAGTGGGCCCAAAGGCCCCCTGCCCCCTCCACTCCCTATTGTATGTTAGGATTCCTGTGCTGGAATGGTTTCCTGTGTGGTCATTTGATTGAACACAAACAGTTGTGGAAGTATTCAGATCCTTCACTTAAGTGTGCTGGTCATATAATTAGAATATCATCAAAAAGTTGATTTTTTTCAGTAATTCCATTCAAAAGTGAAACTGTATAATGTATACATTCATTCCACACAGACTGATATATTTCAAGTGTTCATTCCTTTTAATTTTGATGATTATACTGACAACTAATGAAAACCCCAAAATCAGTATCTCAGAAAATTAGAATATTGTGAAAAGGTTCAATATTGAAGACACTGGTGCCACACTCTAATCAGCTAATTAACTAACACCTGCAAAGGCCTTTAAATGGTCTCTTTCTAGTTCTGCGGCTACACAATCATGGGGAAGACTGCTGACTTGACAGCTGTCCAAAAGACGACCATTGACACCTTGCACAAGGAGGGCAAGACACAAAAGGTCATTGCTAAAGAGGCTGGCTGTTCACAGAGCTCTGTGTCCAAGCACATTAATAGAGAGGCGAAGGGAAGGAAAAGATGTGGTAGAAAAAAGTGTACAAGCAATAGGGATAACCGCACCCTGGAGAGGATTGTGAAACAAAACCCATTCAAAAATGTGGGGGAGATTCACAAAGAGTGGACTGCAGCTGGAGTCAGTGCTTCAAGAACCACCACGCACAGACGTATGCAGACATGGGTTTCAGCTGTCGCATTCCTTGTGTCAAGCCACTCTTGAACAAGACACAGCGTCAGAAGCGTCTCGCCTGGGCTAAAGACAAAAAGGACTGGACTGCTGCTGAGTGGTCCAAAGTTATGTTCTCTGATGAAAGTAAATTTTGCATTTCCTTTGGAAATCAAGGTCCCAGAGTCTGGAGGAAGAGAGGAGAGGCACAGAATCCACGTTGCTTGAAGTCCAGTGTAAAGTTTCCACAGTCAGTGATGGTTTGGGGTGCCATGTCATCTGCTGGTGTTGGTCCACTGTGTTTTCTGAGGTCCAAGGTCAACGCAGCCGTCTACCAGGAAGTTTTAGAGCACTTCATGCTTCCTGCTGCTGACCAACTTTATGGAGATGCAGATTTCATTTTCCAACAGGACTTGGCACCTGCACACAGTGCCAAAGCTACCAGTACCTGGTTTAAGGACCATGGTATCCCTGTTCTTAATTGGCCAGCAAACTCGACTGACCTGAACCCTATAGAAAATCTATGGGGTATTGTGAAGAGGAAGATGCGATACGCCAGACCCAACAATGCAGAAGAGCTGAAGGCCACTATCAGAGCAACCTGGGCTCTCATAACACCTGAGCAGTGCCACAGACTGATGGACTCATGCCACGCCGCATTGCTGCAGTAATTCAGGCAAAAGAGCCCCAACTAGTATTGAGTGCTGTACATGCTCATACTTTTCATGTTCATATTTTCAGTTGGCCAACATTTCTAAAAATCCTTTTTTTGTATTGGTCTTAAGTAATATTCTAATTTTCTGAGATACTGAATTTGGGATTTTCATTAGTTGTCAGTTTTAATCATCACAATTAAATGAAATAAACATTTGAAATATATCAGTCTGTGTGTAATGAATGAATATAATATCCAAGTTTCACTTTTTGATGGAATTACTGAAATAAATCAACTTTTTGATGATATTCTAATTATATGACCAGCACCTGTAAATACATTAACTTAAGGCTCAATACAGTTAAATTCTTAGGAGCTGTTTTTTTTCTTTCAATACTTTATCATGTTTCCATTACTATTATTATTATTATATATTTAGATGTTTTAAAAAGGAATGACAACTACATTTACTCAAGTAGTATACGTGTGCAGCTTCTTGGCTTAAAAATGTATTTCAGTAAAGATTTCAAGTTGCTAATGTATTCTTTATTTCTCATAAAAAAGACAGATGACAAACTAAGTTCAAAAGCTAAATAATATATTAAGTACCACTTAAGTAAATAAAGCACATAAATAAGAGCTTTGTTTTATTTTAATAAATGATTTATCTGACAATTACTTCAATTAATTGATTAATCCTTTTGGACTATAACAAATCCCAAAATATTCACATCACTGTAATGTAAATGCAAGAAAAAGGAATGACATGCAGCAAATCCAGCTGGGGACATTGGAATCAGCTTGGTATTCAGCTAAATCACCACAACACCCCTTGCTGCATTTTCTTTGCTAGCTTTGTCTAGACTTCAACAGCAATATGTGTACTTTTACAGGTTACTTTTAGTCAGTGGTGCACCTAGTATTTAGATCATTAAGTAAAGTGGCAATACCACAATGCAAGAGAAAGTCTTGCATTCAAAATTATCATAATGTGAATGTAGAAACATGTATTTATAGTTTGATATTTTTATTATTAAATGGAGAAATGGAGAAAAGCCCTGCAAGCATGTCAAAACTGACCAGACATGAGACAAAACGTCAGAACAAGAACACAAACATCTCAACTGCATAATAACCTTTTAAGATCTTACATGTAATGTATTTTCATATATATAAAGATTTTTATGTAATAGTTCTTGGGTTATTATTACTCATGCATTAACATGTAAGCAGCATTTTAAAGTTATAGTGGTTTAAGTCCACCACTTAATTCCACCACATATTTAAGACCTATGACCAGTAAAGCTTGAGGCAGAGCAGAGTACTGTAGTGTGCACTGAAAGTCATTAGGTCCCTTGTTGCATGTGGAACAGAATATTAGCAGGTTCACTGTAAAGTAACTGTTTAGCATGTTAGTGAAATGTGCTGGTTAAATGTGTTGTATCTTGTTTATTTAACACTTATAGAATACACGTATAAAATGTGACGTTGTGTTCAATAGAACTGTTAAATATTTCTTGGCCAGCAACACTGGGCAAAGCAGAACTCCTCTCCTTGTAGTGGTTTGGCAGGTTTGGACACTGTTGTAACTATACCATATATGTCTATTTAGAAGGCCTGTTAAAGTAGAAACCGGGTAAAGCCATCCCTATATCTCTGTAAGGTACAGTCATAGTCTATTTAAAAAAAAAAAAAAGTTTCACAAATTTAAAGTTAACACAAATGTATTATAAAAGGAACTTCCTCCTTACTATTGTAGTTACACCCTAGGCAAATATTCAGACAACCAGTGTTACTATATTCAACATCTTGTGCTATGATAGTCAGGTGACACAGGACACAAGCTGTACTAGTCACTGAATGAGAAGTTATCACATGCTGGAAATGAAGAAGTTCCCATTGGTTGACTTTTTTAAACAGGATAATGTGAGTTGTGTGTTCACTGACCCTTGCGTTATTGTGATTTACTGATGAAGATGGCTTACTGGCATCCTTTGCTCCCTACAGCTATACAGGAGTATGAGAGCCTGCATAGGAAGCACAAGACCACAACCATGGAGGTAAGTGTTAATATTAAGTGAAGGAGCAGCAAAGGCAGCTAAAGTAGAAATATTTGTATTATAGTAAAAGCTTATGACGCATTCTTTGTCCAGGTACTGTCTGGGAAAGAGACCATCCTCAAGAAAATTAACAACATTTATTGTTGTTCAAATGCAAAAATCAACCAATGTTTATGTTAACTTGACAAGGACTTATTGTGGCATAAAGTAGAGTGACATTGTTACATTGCAGGGAGGTGGGTGGGGTGGATGGGTCTCATAGTGAGTTTTGACATTTAGAGCTGGTCGTCCACTCATCACATGGCTGGCAGTTCAGTCCCCTGCGCCTCCTGACCAGATTCTCTATGCCGTTCTGTCTGACCTCCTGCCAAGTTCATGCTGTGCAGCTTGACGCAGCTTCCGTCAAAAATAGACTTGTGTATTCTTCACGTAGCGGAGCCAAGAGCTGCATCTGGCACGTTTGTGGGACGTGCTGCGTCTGATGAACTCCCAAGCATTGACTAGAAGGGTCGCGACCAGCTCCGGCAGCCGTGGAGCAGCGGAAACATGCCATGGGCTTTGCTGGCTACTCTGGATTGTAGCAGCAGGAGGGTGCGTGTGCTGCCAGATCAGCCCCTTGGCTGTAAGTTTAGGATGCGCTTGATATGCAGCAGTTTTTCATGAGTGGAGCATGCATATCGGCGTCGATCATGTTGATTTAATTGTGGGAAGCTAAAATCGTAATCGCGATCAATATTCGATTAATTCTGCAGCCCTAACATAGAGGAACACAACTAACTCCTCTCTCCAACTCTGACTCAAGTTTCCACCGGTATCTTCCTGCAACAACTCTCCTTACAAGATTACGAGAAGCAAACCAGTTTTATGTTAAAAACAAAGGATGTCACTGGGAGTCCCTTTTAGGGATCCTTTCCATTATGTTGTCAGACACCCAATATAACAGTCTGAGTCTGTCACTGGCAAAAATAAGCACTTTCTGAGGAATTTTGTCAGGTGTAATTGCCCAAAAGGAATACGTTGCAGCCACTGCAGCTGGTCCAGCTGCCAGCTGAAGCATCTACTGCACGGATTCAAAATGTTTTGTATGTACTAGTCATTTAGACACAACAATATGTAAAAATTACCCATTAAGCTATTGTAGCCAAACTTAGAGCATGTTTTCGGATGCTAGGTCTGAGCTTCACTGAGTGCCACTAGGGGGCGCCAAAATACGAGACGTTTATATCTCGTAATTGGCTGAATGGATTTGTACAAAAATGGTTTGCACAATCAGTTGGTGCATAAGATTTGGTAACAACTGATTAAAGTTGGCATGGCTTATCATAACAAATGGACAAACTTCAGAAAATCACCCATTCTAGAGACCAGAAATTTTCAGCGCAACAAAAAGACAAACGTTTGCCTCTCTGCAGCCTATGGTCAAGTGATTCAAGTTTATAATATTTTTCAAAATGTGCTAAATCAATTAGCATCTATATCTCTACAAGTCTTTGTTCAAATGCTCTCATAATTGACACAGACATTCTCTGCTACAGCCATATAAAGTCTTCAGGCCTTGCTTTTGAAATTGTACAGTGGGTTCTTATGTTTTGTGTTACTCATTGTATATTATATATGGACACATCAGGCTCACTTTGGGGACATTAATTATATTTCTTAATCTGCTACTGCAGCGCTATATGTAATTTATCTTCTGATACCTTTTAATACATTCTGCTTTTTTCACACAATCTAAGTTGTGCTGTTGTACAGGCAAACAGGTTGAAGGCTGATTAAAACAGCAGTGATCCTGCTGCTCTGTCTGTCTCTCTTTCATAAGTGCAAGAGGCTGGAGGAGGAGAGAGACGAGGCCATTGAGAAGCTCAATAAGTTTCAGCAAGGTAAGTTTATATCTCCTGGGTTAATACATGTTATTCTACAAACAAGCTTAACTCGGTTAATGCTTGTATTTATATAGTCGCATAGTCGAATCAGAATCGTGTAGTCCTGCCTATAGGCGACCTATAGTCGTCATTATGTGTGTTTTTGTGCACAGCGATTGGCGGGGGGGGAGCTCCGTCTCTTCAGCAAGTGTTCCTCCACTGCCACTACCCACACGCTACGCCTACACATGCACACTGACGACCCAGGGTTAGGGTTACAATTTTGGATTTATTCACGCACTTCAAAAACATTTATTGAAAGTTTTTTTTTCTTTTTACATCTTTATTTACAGCATTAAACGTTGAAATGTGTATTTTAATAGGCTGTATATTAACTTATTGGGAGAAAACTGGTAGTTCTATGTAAAATCAGACATTGAGCACCCCCATATCGCCAAAATGGCATGATCCATATTTCACTGCGAAGCTTCGACTGTGAGATTGACAGTTGAATCAGGCTCCGCCCATCGCCATCTTTGACTATTTGGTATCAGCTGAGGATCTGAAAAAAAGAATTGTTGCTCCACATAAAGACGGCCGAGGCTATAAGAAGGTTGTCAAGACCCTGAAACTAAGCTGCAGCACGGTGGCCAAGACCATACAGCGATTCAACAGGACAGGTTCCAATCAGAACAGGCCTCGCCATGCTCACCAAAGAAGCTGAGTGCACGTGCTCAGCGTCATATCCAGAGGTTGTCTTTGGGAATTAGACCTATGAGTGCTGCCAGCATTGCTGCAGAGGTTGAAGAGGTGGGGGGTCAGCCTGTCAGTGCTCAGACCATACTACGCACACTGCATGAAACTGGTCTGCATGGCTGTCGTCCCAGAAGGAGGCTCTTCTAAGATGATGCAGAAGAAAGCCTGCAAACAGTTTGCTGAAGACAAGCAGACTGAGGACATGGATTACTGGAACCATGTCCTGTGGTCTGATGAGACCGAGATAAACTTATTTGGTTCAGATGGTGTAAAGTGTGTGTGGCAGCAACCAGGTGAGGAGTACAAAACAAGTGTGTCTTGCCTACAGTCAGGCATGATGGTGGGAGTGTCCTGGTCTGGGGCTGCATGAGTGCTGCCAGCACTGGGGAGCTACAGTTCATTGAGGGACCATGAATGTCAACATGTACTGTGACATACTGAAGCAGAGCAAGATCCTCTCCCTTCGGAGACTGGGCCACAGGGCAGTATTCCAACATGATAAACACACCTCCAAGACGACCACTGCCTCGCTAAAGAAGATGAGGGTAAAGGTGATGGACTGGCCAAGCATGTCTCCAGACCTGAACCCTACTGAGCATCTGTGGGGCATCCTCAAATGGAATGTGGAGGAGTGCAAGGTCCAGCAAGGACCAGCTCCGTGATGTCGCCATGGAGGAGTGGAAGAGGACTCCAGTGGTAACCTGTGAAGCTCTGGTGAACTCCATGCCCAAGAGGGTTAAGGCAGTGCTGGAAAGTAATGGTGGCCACTAGGGCTGGACCCGAATAGTCGACCGTTGGGTAGAGCCCTGCATTTCAGCCCGATGGGCCCCGACTTTCAGCCCAATGGGCCCCGACTTAGTTACGCCCCTAGGGGTGGGCTTCGGGCAAATTTTCACGTCATAGTTCACATGCGGGCCGGGCCTCGGGCCTTTTTGGGTTATCCTTTTTATATTTTTAGACATTAGGCTAATTAAAAGAAAATATGAGAAGTTGACGTCGACAATGGAAAAACAAACATAGAAAGACATTTCATAACCTGTTTTTAACCTATCTTATAATTACACTGACATACGACTGACATGACAGTCTCACGCACACACAAAGAAGGTTTCTCCTCAGCGCGACCCACGATTCACCTCATGTGCAATGGAGAATATTAAGAGAAAAATCGCAGATGGCCAACTTAAAACGGTAAAAAACACCAGAGGAAAGGCAAACTTCTGGGCTGTTTTTCAAATCGTGACAACCTTAAATGATGAGCCAACTGGTTATGCACAATGCACAATTAGCAAGGCTGTGCTAAGCTACGATAGTAAGAAGACGGGATCATCTCATTTACAAAGACATTTTGAGCGTGGTGGATGTACCGGTAGCGGACCAACCAGCAGCAGCAAACAAATGAGTGTGACTGATTTCCTTGCCAAACCAACTCCTTCTATGGTGAAATCACTAATCACAGCTATTTTCACAGCTAATTTCTGTTGTATGGACATTCGGTCATTTGAAACGGTAGCAGGGAACGGTTTCATCCAGTTAGCGCAAGAGCTAATAAATGTAGGCGCAGCCCATGGACGTCTGTCAGCAACAAGTTTACTCCCTGACCCCACCACAATCTCCCGAAAGTGAGATTGTAGCTAAGTAAAGTATTAGCTTGATTTGAGAGGCTAAAGTGATCAAACATGTTTCACTCGCTGTCGGCTCGGCTGCTTGGTCGTCATTAAAAATAAAATGCTCTAAACATTTGTATAAATTAATAAAGAAATGACATGAAACATAACTAACAAAACTGGCATATTTTAATGGCTGCAAATAGGGCAGGCTGTCGCTGTGTAATGAAAAAATAAAAAATAAAAACAGGCTTGGGCTCGGACTCGGGCTAATAATTTTATTGAGCTGTCGAACACGGGTCGGGCTAGGGCCTGAGCATCTCGGGCCAGGGCCAGGCTCGGGCCTAGATTTGAGGCCCGTGCAGGGCTCTACCGTTGGGTACACATTAGATTTTCAATTTTGAGATTCGAGTTTTTTTTTGGTGCGCCTGACCTCCGCCGACAGCGGTGAACGTAACGCTCCAGTTCATATAAACGGGAAAACAAAATGAAGCTCTCAGGTGTGTGGGAACACCTTAGACTGAGTGATGACAGCAGTAGTGTGGAAATTATGGCGTTTATTAATTTTACAATTGCTTAATTTTATTACAGATCAAAACACGCGAAGCTTCGATTGTTCGCTCTTAATTACTATCGAAGCATAGAAGCTCAAAAAATGACCCCCCACCCATGCCATCGTGTGAACATAGTGTTTCTGCTGCTCCCTGATAAAAGATACCTGCTGATACCTGTTCAGAAAAAACAACAAGAAAACTGGACTCTGATGGTAACTTGTTTTAACAAGCTAGATAAAAGGTAATACCCTGGCAGTGGCAAATACCTTTGGTTTAATATTTGATTTGATTACGTAAACATGAACTGTTATTAGTTTATTCGGCGAGTTTTAAATTAACGAATCATACACAGATTAAAATGTTCGTTAATTTTTGTTCAGCCTCTCTACACTGTTTCGATCCGACCTTTATTTTCTTTCTGAGATGGAAGAATTTAGCCTCCAGCTGCAGGAACACATGGATTATGCTAAAATCAGGAGGTCAGACTTCACCCAGCCAGAGGGAACGACCACTGACTGTCCAGTGCGACGGTTCCACTGGCAGCACAACCCATTGTAAGGTGAACGGAGGGGGAGTTGTAGGGACTCAACACCGGTCAAAGATAGAACAAAACGCACCTCCTTTGTTTTACGTTATGTGTTTAAAACACAAGAAACTAAACAGATGTCTGTTTTTTTGTTTACCGTTTTTCCATTTTTCCGTTATGGTTTTAAAACAGAACTTTTTATGATTTGGTTTTGAAACAAAATAATGAAAGAACGAACCATACACGGATTATTCAAATAATCGTGGTAATCAAGGTCAAATGTTCAATTAAAGAGGTATTCTGCTCATTTTCAGGTGCAAAATCTTATTTAGGGGTTGTACCAGAACAGGTTTACATGGTTTCATTTTCAAAAAACACCATATTTTTTGTCATACTGCACATTGCTGCAGCTCCTCTTTTCACCCTGTGTTGAAGGCTTCATTTTAGGTATGGAGTGATACATCTTGTCTCTAAATGATCTTTGTTGGGAGTTGCACATGCGCAGTTCCTAGTTAAGGACTACTAGCCAATCAGAAGCAGAGAAGGGCGGGTCAGCAAAAGCCAGTAATAGCCAATCAGAAGCAGAGAAGCTCCAGCTGCAGCAGCACCAGGGTCGACCTGTGGCGCTAAACCCCGCGGCCAGCGCAGTGAAAATTGCTTCCTATCTGAAAGGGCCATTGCCTAGGAAGCAAAATGTCAGGGGGCTGCATACAACGCAAGAAAGGTTTTCGGCTCAGTGCGAATCTACTCCGGCCAGTTGATGCAACACCTGTGATTGTAATCATGTGCACCTCGCATTGTGAGTCCAGACAGCAACTGGTAGACTACAGTTTTGCAATCTAAACATCTTAAAACTGAAGCGCAGCCTTGTTTTTTTGGACTGTAGTTGCACTTTATCAGTTTTAATTTAGTCCTTTGTCATCTTTATTATTTATTTAAAAATTTGTATGTGTATATGTTTGTCACCAGGCCGGACACGGGGGCAGAAATGGGGGTGGGAGGCACAAACATCACACAAACAGAAACCACAGAGAAAGGACAGCGCCTGTAAGAGAACAGGGGTGGGGGCCGGGTGGTGACAACAGGAAACATCAGAAAAGTAGAGCCGTTTGTCCGTTTTCAGCTACTGTAGAAACATGGCGGCTCAACATGGTGATGTCCATGTTAAGGGTGAACCTGCGGTGTAACTGTGCCCAGAAGGATAATCCCTCTTCGTCCTCTCTTCAAAGCTTTGACCTTTGACACGAGACTGAAGCGGGGCCCTGCTTACACGTGTGTAGTGAGTGTAAAGGACTGTCCGACTCTGGTTCTACTGCTGCTTTATGCTATTGTTATTATTATTTTGATCTGCTGTTCAATATTTTCAATTTCTTTCTAAAACGTCCGATCAAATGTCAAGAAAGTATTGATAGACAAAGTATGATATGAATTCTGTTTACTGAGGGACTTGAGCAGTTAATTTATATGGAACACCAACACCAGGGACATCAATGTGTCCCTGAGCAAGGCCCGTTTATACTCCTGCGTAGGGTCCACGTGCGTAGCTACACTGTAGGCTTCACACGCAGCCATGCA